CTAATAAACATTTCTTAGGTATACCCCAATCAGCTTCAGGCCAGTGTCATTCCGCTTAACGCCGAGTGGCGCATTCTTGCGAGCACACCACATATGTTCGAGTTCGATGAGCGCTAATAAATTCTGACCCATTTAGCTCAATAGTTTGCATATGCTGTTAATTTGCAACTTTGTTTAGTATCAGGTAATTTCAGACAGAGACAGTGAGTGAACAGTTAACAAACTTGTCTAATGCCCCTGGAAAAAGGAATCCGGGCAAAGATGAATTATTAATGCGCACCAAAGATTGAACATGAGTATATAATGCTGTGTGTGTTTATGCAAATATGTGTCATTAGCATAAATCAATGGAGTCACACACAAAATGTATATTGTCATGAACCCTGAAACATTGATGGTGATTAACAATATTTGTCTGGTCAGGGCAGCTATGATATTTCTATCGCCAACTTCCGGTGCATTAGCTTCGAAATACTCTTCAAAGGTGGTGATAAATTGTTGCGTAAACTATGAGTAAATATATGAACTATACATCTGTAAATGCTTCTTCTTCAGGTACTGGTCGGGGGTACGGTGAAGCACGTCCACCTCTTCGAAGAAGAAGAAAAACAAAACAAAGCAATAGGGTTGTCTGAGGGGGGTTAAACCCACTGTGACTTGTAAGGGCGTTCACCACGTGATTAGATCTCTGATTGCGTGGTCATGTGATATGCATTGCCTTAGATTATGCAATCACGAACAATGACGATGGTGCTACAATTTCTTACGTCGGTCATTTCGACATGATAAAATGATTTGCGGGTTTCAAGCGCGCGTGATAACCAGTTACCTGTAGGGCTGTTCGAAGTTCGTGCATGGAACGCATCGCCAACAGCTCGTGCTTACCAAAATATGTACTGTAATGTTAAAACAATGTTTCCAATGGTAGGGCATATTCATTGCCGTATTCGCCTATATCTAAGCTCTCAGATGATGTATAGGGCATTACTTCTGGCTAAATTACAGATCAATTGATAAATCTTTTTCCCCTTGTACTTTTTTTCTTATGACACTTTTACAGATCCCGTCGTCGGATTGTGTTTTTAATTAGAAACGGTCAAAATCTCGTTGAAAAACAGACATATAACAAGACCAAGACGCAGTCGATTTATCAATAGTATCTGATATTCGTCTGGAGGTATTTTGTTTGGCCGAAATCAGAGTATTTATTTAGTTTTCTGGACATTTTCACAGGCCGGTGTTCACTCTCTCCACTTTTACCATTTTGCTCATAGGGCTGCACCGCAGTGTTAGGGTCCGACTGTATACAGACGATGTGTATATAATTGACAGACGAAGCTAAATACCTTCCCGGACCCAAAACTCCGCGAAACCACGACTAATAAGGCGTATGTTTTTCCAAAAGTTCACATAACCTACAATTTCATACACATTACGCTGTGTCCGAACACAGTGAATAAAGCTGAAGCGTGTAAAAAATACATTTAATAATAATAATAATAATAATAATAATAATAAT